AGACGACCACCACTGAACAAGACACACAAGCTGAAACGTCAAGACTGGGCCAAGAAATATCTCAAGACTGATTTTTCTAAAGTTTTATGGACTGATGAAATGAGAGTGAGTCTTGATGGGCCAGATGGATGGGCCCGTGGCTGGATTGGTAAAGGGCAGAGAGCTCCAGTCCGACTCAGACGCCAGCAAGGTGGAGGTGGAGTACTGGTTTGGGCTGGTATCATCAAAGATGAGCTTGTGGGGCCTTTTCGGGTTGAGGATGGAGTCAAGCTCAACTCCCAGTCCTACTGCCAGTTCCTGGAAGACACCTTCTTCAAGCAGTGGTACAGGAAGAAGTCTGCATCCTTCAAGAAAAACATGATTTTCATGCAGGACAATGCTCCATCACACGCGTCCAAGTACTCCACAGCGTGGCTGGCAAGAAAGGGTATAAAAGAAGAAAATCTAATGACATGGCCTCCTTGTTCACCTGACCTGAACCCCATTGAGAACCTGTGGTCCATCATCAAATGTGAGATTTACAAGGAGGGAAAACAGTACACCTCTCTGAACAGTGTCTGGGAGGCTGTGGTTGCTGCTGCACGCAATGTTGATGGTGAACAGATCAAAACACTGACAGAATCCATGGATGGCAGGCTTTTGAGTGTCCTTGCAAAGAAAGGTGGCTATATTGGTCACTGATTTGTTTTTGTTTTGTTTTTGAATGTCAGAAATGTATATTTGTGAATGTTGAGATGTTATATTGGTTTCACTGGTAATAATAAATAATTGAAATGGGTATATATTTGTTTTTTGTTAAGTTGCCTAATAATTATGCACAGTAATAGTCACCTGTACACACAGATATCCCCCTAACATAGCTATAACTAAAAACAAACTAAAAACTACTTCCAAAAATATTCAGCTTTGATATTAATGAGTTTTTTGGGTTCATTGAGAACATGGTTGTTGTTCAATAATAAAATTAATCCTCAAAAATACAACTTGCCTAATACTTCTGCACTCCCTGTAGAGGCCCACTAAGAGTCTTCTCTAATTCCAATCTTTAATTAATTCTTTTTCCCTCATCTTTTCCTCTCTTTCTCTTCACTCATGCTCGTCTCCTGATCTTTCTCATTTGATAATCTAATCCTTTTGCTCACTATAATAGCTGATGATCTATCCTTTATACATACCATTGACCTGGAGGCCAGTTTTATATTAAATACGATTTAAAGGGTTATGATTGTACAACAATTCCCCATATAGGAGATGATGACTTATTTATGAATATTTTATTTCATGTTATAAGACACTTCATGTCACATTTACAATTATTGAGAGTTCTGATCATACAAATTGCTTATATAATTCAATGCCATACAGGTAACAGTCCCTAGCAAGTTTAGTGCTTCCTGCCCACTAGACACCTTCTTAGAGCCTATATTATTTCAAATTGCAAACATATTTCATGACCTAACATATAGCCTGCAGCATTTGGTGACATCTCTCTCAGTTAAACACTCAAGCTTGGCCCTATCTGGCCTGATTCCATGGAGTCCTTGGCAGAAGCATTGTACTTTTGTTGATAACCCTGATAACCTATGTCACTGAATTGATTTTTCTCATAGACATAATGACTCACAGCAAATTTAGGCTCTATGTTTTATTACCTGTGCTACTTGGTTGCCTATCAATAAGCACTATTAGAAATGCCTTCTCATATTTCCATATGGAATTTGAGTGTAAAACAGAACCATTTTATTGTTATTATTCAACTGCGCATTGATGTCTTATATACACCCTTTATTTATTTTTTATGTACTCAACGTATATACTTCAGTTTAAAATCAATACAATCCTGTGAAACGATTTTCTTTAAGTTTTACATTTTTTTTATTAAGTCAGCTTCACATTATGCTGAATAAGGGTCCATGTAAGTCTGAAGCCCATCTCTAATATTTAGATATCCAAGTTATCATGGCCAGTTTTTGCATGTACTCGTTGTTTTCCCTCTTGGGACAAAGCACTGTAATAAAACACAGAAAATAACAATTGTTTAAAAGGAACATTGGTTACATGAAACAACATTTTCTCAAAACAGGATTTTTATCTTGTTCTTTATTCACACATCTGCAGTAATATTAAACAATTGGTAGTCAACTTATAGGAAGTTGGAGGTTCAGTCATATGAAATATAAATGTGTGCCATGCCAAATTTACACTTACTTAAAGGGACACTCAAGGTGCCTAGACCACTTCTGCCCATTGGAGTGGTCTGGGTGCCAACTCCCATCACCCTTAACCCTGCAAGTGTAATTATTGCAGTTTTTATAAACTGCAATAATTATCTTGCAAGGTTAAGTCCTCCTCTAGTGGCTGTCTATCAGACAGCCACTAGAGGGACTTCCATGTTTTTAGAACACGAAAAGTGTTTTAAATGACGCTGGACGTCCTCACGCTATGCTATGTAGTGAATAACGCGATGTTCCTTAGCTGTGTTTTTCAATAGGTATAATTTGTATATAGTTTGGTCTTTATGGCAGTTCCACTACTTAAAAATACATGTTCTGGCTGTGCGTCCCCCCCCTTCCCCCCCAATTCCCTCTTTTTTTCTTTTTTGATTTGGAATCCATACCTGATTTCTATTTGGCTGACAACTCCACCCATCCACTATAGGTTCCCCTTTAGAGGTGACAACAGGAAAGCATAAATTGAAGAGAGTCTCTGGAAGCAGTTTAAGCAGTAAGTATTACTATTAGCAAAATCATCTCCTATATTGAAATTACTGTAAGACCCACTTGCTGTGACATGCTATTAGGAAAGAGTCATTTTGTAAATGCCCAACCAACCCTTCCTTCTGGACTAAGTATACAGGCTGTTGATTGGAAGGAACTCTGGTCACTAAGCACCATTGAATACTGTGAAGATCAGTAAACTGAAAATATAGCTGTGAGCCTGTGCTTGGCTCATAATGATAAGTAGTCAGATCACTGTTGCGATCGCAAAAAGAATGCTTTCGGGGCAGAGCTAAGCAGTTGACTTGGAAAGACGCATGTTTCATGGGCTCCGTACTTTGGCCCACTTTAAACATAAAATATACCTATATCAGAGCTTGGAAACGGCGGATATCAGGCATAAGACCAAAATGGGTCGAAAAACAAAAAGCAGACAAACTCAGATCGAGCATGCATATCGGAGATCTGTTCTGACAAGCGCAGGGAACCTAAGAGCCCAAGCTGGCTGCTAACCTCGAGGACTTCTCCGACTCCACGGACAGTGAGAGCTTGGGGCTGCCAACACCCATGCAGCCTACACCTGCTCCAAGGAGTGAAGACTCTGCCCGAGTGACAGCAGAGCTGCAGATAGATATGTTAAGAGCCCTCCAAAAAAGCATCCAGGCGGACTTGGCGCAGCTCCGCACTGACCTGACTGGCCTTGTGGGCCACCTGGGAGTGGTGGAAACCTCAGCAGAGAAGCAAGCTGTTTCGATGTCAGAGCTAAACTGAAAGTACAAGCACTGAAGAAACAGCAGGCACTCACTGACCAGCGTTTCGCCAAGGATACGCGGTTATGCGGCGCCGCAAATTTTTTAATCTCCGGGGCATACCGGAGGATACTCCTGTGGCGCAACTCCCACACTTACTGCGACGGATGATGGGGATCCTGCTGGCACCCAAAGAACCTTACCTTCAACAGAGTCTTTAGAATTCCTAAAGCCCGAAGGGCGCCGACAACAGCACCTAGTGACTTAGTGGTGTGATATCAGAACATGGCTGATAAGATAACGGTTCAGGTTGCTCTCAGGGGTAGAGCCCCGTTCACATTCAAGAATATGACCCTCGCATTCTACCAGGATCTCTCTGGAGAAACCCTATTATGGAGGAAATCTATGCAGCCTTTCACTGCCCTACTCAGGGCCAATGGCCTGCGATACTGATGGCACTTGACACATTCCCTACAAATCCAGCAAGGAGAGGCCACCCATTCAATGCAAGACCTGCAAGAAGCAATGAGACGCTCCTGGGAACCTTGGGTCTACCAGATGACTCTACGCCACGACATGGACATTCCGGGACTGCAGTATCTTCCATATGGATCCAGCGAACGTCACGCTGTTCCCACCACGGAAGGTCCTCTCGGACACTTATGCCACAGTCACCACCCGAGACATTTTGTTTCCAAGACCCCCATAACGGGGATTGTATGTTATAAATGGTTCAATGTTCACTTATGTTTAATTTAGAACATGACTTAAAATGCACTTATTGCCATTTATACCAGGATGCCTCAAAAAGGAATTTTAAATACCTATGCATCACTCTGAGACATAGACAGATTCTCTCCACCCGGCCCCTACCCTTTTATCGACGAATAGCATACTCCAACGAAACCTGGGGGCGTTAATCCTAATCTTCATTTTAAGGCCAAGCCAGATGTCATCGCATCGCTACAGTATAGAATAGCTGATTGGCCGGTGTACTCCTGAGTGGTCTGCTCCATAATCATTTTAGTCACTCTCTTATTTCTCCTCCTTTCTACAGCCCATTCTAATTACTTTCCACATGCTGGTCTTCGCTCATCACTTTGCTCATCGATATACCATTAGTAACCCCAATATATGTTATCGCAGAGAAGCTTTCCTTTAGGATAACCTTGTACAAGGCTGGTAACTAATCTGCCCAGCGCGAGGGGTTAAAAACTCGACTCACGGGTTAATTTTTGGGACAACTGTATTATTGTTGTATGCACTGCCTTGAACTCCTCACACTAGTGAGTTAAATACAAGCAAGAATATATAAAAAATGGTGCATCACAATCAAATGCCACTCAAACTGTTCTCTTATGTACACTATGACACTTGTTTATGCTGTTGGGGCATTGCAGGCCTATTTTGTATCTTTATGCACTGCAAAAATAAAGTACATAAAAAATTTTATTTAAAAAAAGGAGTGCTTTCAGTAAGGGAATGGGCTGTTTAACAAAGGGCCCAATGGACAGTTGCTGAGGGTCCCTGTAAATTATGGGGCCCAGGACAGCCGCCTTTTTTGCCCAGAGGTAAAAACTGCACCACTGGAGAATTTTGACCACTGAACCACTGAAGAGCTGTGGATCTTCAAGAAAAGCGTGTCTGCCATTTGGCCAACCCTGGTATGAAATACGAGTAATACATTTCTGATTTTATACTATATTTCCTCTTGTAATCAGAATATAACATAGATGGTCACCGCATCTAATTCTGATGTAGTGCCTTGCTAGTTCTGAACCTCAGATGGAAAAATGCTTTATAAGAAATATACATATAATAGATCACCCAGTTATGCCTTAACTGACACTTATTTATAATATCCTACTCCGGTCCGTGACCACATACAAGCACTTACTTGTCATGCAAATGAGAGAAACTCTGTGGAGGACTGTGAGATAGGAGAATTTGATCAGCGGAAACCTAAAGAGAAGGTTTAATAACAGTTTAGAGTATATATAGATTTGTCTATACAATTATACCAGAGAAATCTACACAGCATCCATCATAATTATATTTAAATTAATCAAACTACCTATTGTAGGGCTTTATCTTTTTTCAAAAGAGCTTTATGTTTGTGTTAGAGATACAAACCTGTATTCCTGACGCTATAGCACCATGTCCCACATTCTATACAGGTTCCCCACTGCTTAGAAATTAATAATATGGGTGAACCCCCAGTTCCCCTCTTTTCTGTGTAGATTTGGAATCCAGACCAGATTCGGGCTGAGCACCCTACCCATCCACTATAGGTGCCCCTTTTGTAGGAGACCACAGGAAAGGATACATTGAGGAGATTTGTGGAAGCAGTTTAAGTAGTTAGTTTTGCAATTAGCATGTTCACTTATCATGTTAAAATGAGTGTAGGACCTGATATTTGGGTACTGCCACATGGTGTAACTGAATCCCAATATTTGTTTGCAATGACAGCTGACAGGTGATTTTAAGTAGCTTGTAAAATTCAAAACTGTATTAAATATTTATTTATTATTTTTCCTGTGTGTGTGCTTTTCTCTAATATCTATTTTGTGAATAAGGGGTGGTATGGTAACTAGTAGCACAGCATGTTGAAAGAAATCAGGGAGACTAAAAAAGAGATAGAGGGGGACAGGCCAAGAAATGTATAGAAAGACTAAGAAATAGAGCAAGGAAGAGTGAGTTACTTACTGTGGCATGCTATTAGCAAAGAGTCCTTTAGTAAACTCCAACCAATCCCTCCTCTTGGACTAAGTTTGCTGGCTGCTGATTGGAAGGGACTCTGGCCACTGAACATCACTGAGTACTGTAATGATCAGTGAACTGAAAACAGAGCTGTTAGCCTGTGCTTGGCTCATACTGATAAGTAGTCAAATCACGGTTGTGATCGCGAAAGGAGTGTTTTCATTAAGGGCCCAGTGGGCAGCTGCTGAGGGTCCATGTAAATTATGGGTGTCGGGACAGCTGTCTTTTTTGCCCTCTAGTAAAAAACGGTCGTGATAAAGAGTCTTTAAGAGTTGTAGTTCTTCAAAAAATTAGTGTCTGTCATTTAGTCACCCCTGGTTTGAATTATGATTAATATATTTCATATAATACTATATTTTTGTAAACTGGCCATTGCATAGATGGTCACAGTGTCTAATTCTGATTTAGTGCTTTGCTAGTTCTGAACCGCAGATTGAATAAACTGTAATGTTTTATGAGAAATATACATATAATAGACCATCCAGTTATGACACTTCCTTACAATATCGTACACCGGTCCCTGACCAGCTATAAGCACTTACTTGTCACGCAAATGAGAGAAACTTTGTAAACGACTGTGAGATTGGAAAATATGATCCGTGTAAATCTAAAGAGAAGTTTAATAACAGTTTAGAGAATATATAGATGTGTCTATACAATTATACAAGAGAAACCTATACAGTGGCCAGCATAATTACTACATTTAAATTTATCAACCTACCTACTGTAAATTGGCTTCATTTTTTTCAAAGGAACACTCTAGTGTTAGGGATACAATCCTGTATTCCTAATGCAATAGCACTGTGTCCCTGATTCTATACAGTATCCCCGCGACTTAGAAATGCATGTTCTCGATCTGCCCCTAATTCCCATTTTTTCTGTTTAGGTTTGGAATCTAGACTAGATTCCTATTGGGCTAAGCACCTACCCATCCACTATAGATGTCTCTTTGGAGGTGACCACATGAAAGCATACATTTAGGAGACTTTCTAGAAGCAATTTAAGCAGTAAGAATTTGCAATGAGCATGTTCATCTCCCATGTTAAAATTAGTGTAGGACCCACCGATATTGGGGTACTGTGAGATAGTGATGGGATTAACGCCATATAATGTAACTGAAACTCCATATTTGTGTTCAAAGACAGGTGATTTTAAGTAACCTTGTAAACTTTAAAATTGTACTATATATATATATATATATATATATATATATATATATATATATTTGTGTGTGTGTGCTGTTCCCTAATATCCATTTTGTGAATAACTAGTAGCACAGCATATTGAAAGACATAAAGGAGAGTAAAAAAGAGATAGAGGGGAACAGGTCAAGATATCTAGAGAAGGATAGCGAGGAAGAGTGAGTTACAAACTGTGACATGCTATTAGGAAAGAGTCAGTCAGTAAGCCCCAACACACCCCTCATCCTGAACAAATTATGCTGGCTGCTGATTGGAAGGGGCTCTATCCACTGAGCATCACTCAATACTGTGAAGATCCTTGAACTGAATATAGAGCTGGAAGCCTGTGCTTGGCTCATACTGATAAGTAATCAGATCACGGTTGAAATCGTGAAAGCAGTGTTTTCATTAAGGGTCTGTTGGACAAAGGGCCCAAGGGTCAGCTGCTGAGAGTCCCTGTAAATTATGGGGTCCAGGGCAGCAGGCTTCTTTTGCCAAATGTTAAGCTGTATTTCTTCAAGTGATGAGTGTCTGTCATTTGGCCAACCCTTGTTTGAATAATGAGTAATATATTTTATATTTAATACTATATTTCCTCTTGTAAACTGATCATAACATAGATGGTTACCGTGTCTAATTCTGATGCAGTGCCTTGCTAGCTCTGAACCCCAGATGGAATAAACTGTAATGCTTTATAAACAATGAACATATAATAGATCACCCAGTTATGCCTTAAATGACAGTGACTGGCCAAAAAAAACACTTACTTGTGACGCAAATGAGAGAAACTCCATAGAGGACTGTGAGATAGGAAAATATGATCTGCGGAAACCTAAAAAGAAAGTTTAATGACAGTTTAGAGAATATATAGATTTGTCTATACAATTATACTAGAGAAGCCTATACAGCATCCAGCATTATTACTACATTAAATGTATCAAACTACCTACTGTATTGGCTTCACTTAAAAAAAAAAAAATATTTTTAAAAAAAGAACACTATAGTGTTGCAGATGCAAACCTGTGTTCCTTATACTATAGCACCAGGTCCCTAATTCTATACAGTATCCCCACTACTTAGAAATTCATGCGCCAGATGTACCCCAAATTCCTGTTTTTTTTCTGCGTAGATTTGGAATTCAGACCAGATTCCTCTTAAGCTAAGCACCCACCCATCCACTATAGGTGCCTTTGGAGGTGACGACAGGAATGCATAACTTGAGAATAGTTGCAAGATGAGTCTCTAGAAGCAGTTAAAGCAGTAAGTATTGCAATTTGCATGTTCATCTCCCATGTTAAAATTACTGTAGGACCCACTGTTATTGGGGTAATGTGACATAGTGATGGGAATAACACATTTTGGCCATATAGTGTAACTAAATCCCTATATTTGTATGCTAGTACAGGTGACTTTAAGTAGCCTTATAAATTGAAAACTGTATTCTATATATATTTATTATTATTTTTGGACTCTGGCCACTGAGCATCACTGAATACTGTGAAGATGAGTGAATTAAAAATAGAGTTGTGAGCCCATGCTCGGCTCATACTGAGAAGTAGTCAGATCACGGTTGTGATCTTAAAAAGGAGTGTTTCATTAAGTGAACGCCCTGTTTGACTAGGGGCCCAAGAGGCAGATGCTGAGGGTCCCTGTAAATTATGGGGCCCAGGGCAGCCGCCTTTTCTGCCCAGTGGTAAACGCTGCACTACTGAAGAATATTTAGAGCTGTAGTTCTTCAAGAAACGAGTGTCTGCCATTTGGCCAACCCTGGTTTCAAGTATAAGTGATATATTTCATCTTTAATACTATAATTCCTCTTGTAAACTGACCATAACATAGATGGTCACTGCAACTAATTCTGATGTAGTGCCTTGCTAGCTCTGAACCCCAGATGGAATAAACTGTAATGCTTTATAAAAAATGTACATATAAGAGATCACCCAGTTATGCCTTAAATGACACTCCTTTACAATATCCTACACAGGTCCCTGACCAGATATAAGCACTTACGTGTCACGCAAATGAAAGAAACTCTGTAGAGGACTGTGAGACAGGAAAATTGGATCAGCTGAAATCTAAGGAGAAAATGTAATAACATTTTAGAGAATATATAGATTTGTCTATACAATTATACATGGCATCCAGCATAATTACTACATTTAAATTGATCAAACTACCTATCGTAAGGGCTTCATGTTTTTTTAAAAGGAATACAAACCTGTATTCCTAACGCTATAGCACCATGTTCCTAGTTCTATAAAGGTTCCCCACAACTACGAAATGCATGTTCCATGTATTCCCTCAATTCCCTCATATTCTGTGTAAATTTGGAATCCATACCAGACTCCTATTGGGCCAAGCACCCACCAATCCACTATAGGAGCCCCTTTGGAGGTGACCACAGGAAAGCATTAATTGAGAAGAGTGTGTAGAAGCAGTAAGTATTGCAATTAGCAAGTACATCTCCTACGTTAAAGTTAGTGTAGGACCCACCTATATTGGGGTACTGAGACATAGTGGTGGGCTTAACACGACATGGCCATATAGCCCAACTGAATCCTCATATTTGTTTGCTAAGACAGATGATTTTAAGAAACCTTGTAAAATTGATAACTGAACTATATATTTATCTTAATTTTTTTGTGTGTGTGTACTGTTTCCTACTCTGTATTTTGTGAATAAGAGGTGGTATGTTTTAAAGGACGACTACAAACATGTATTCCTGACACTATAGTTTTAAAAACACTGTGTAGGTGTCCGCCTCCCTTTCCGCCTTTAACTCCTTAAGGATACATGACATGTGTGACATGTCATGATTCCCTTTTATTCCAGAAGTTTGGTCCTTAAGGGGTTAAAAAGCTGACTTTACTCACCTTTTTTCCAGTGCCGGCCTCACTGTAGCTCACTCCGCCTCCTTGGCTAAGATCATCAAACTTATGTTCCTTGACAGTAATGTAAACACGGCTTTTTCTCTGAAAATACAGTGCTTACATTACAAAACATGAAGGGACATACTATACACACCAGAACAACTACATTAAGCTGTAGTTTTTCTGATAACCATAGTGTCCCTTTAATTCCTCACCCCATTGGCTTATTGCACCAGAGAAAGCTGAGTGGGAGAGATATTTGCCTTTAAGCATAAAGATCTACTTCCCACTGCTCTCTTTTTTTTATACCAGATACAATAACTGGGGCCCAGGTGTGTTATATCATTTCCTGGCATCCTCAGTCACGATTACCAACGAAAGACAATGACACAGTGTTATAACAGAGTTTTGCTTTGGTTGGCACAGACCTTTCCTACCTATGCCACAGATGGCACTACAAGCAGCAATGTGTAAATCTATGTAACCATTTATCCAAGAGGTTGGATTTTTTGAACAGCTGCTTAAAAGGAACATTGGTTATGTGAAACAACATTTTATCAAAGCAGGATTTTATGCCTCGCCCTTCAAGTTTTTATTTACACATCTGCAGTTATATTAAACAATTGATAGTAAACTTATAGGATGTTGGAGAGCTGAGCCATACAATATATAAATGCGTGTCATGCCAAATTTGCACTTACTTGATCATTTATAGCCAGCCGTTCTAGGGTGCCAAGATTATCTTATATGCCCCTGATACCCGTGAAAGCTTCACAGGATACCTTTCAGTGAACAGAATGACTGAAAGAGGATTCCGGAGGTCATTCAGGGCTAGCAATACCTGAAAGACAAAGAAAGATCATGTGTGTTAGTGGCTGGGAAAATCTCTCAGACCCATTGACAAATACAGGATAGAACCTGTCTCCCACAAAAGACAATAATGAGAGATTTAAGTTCAGGCAGGTATGAATACCTACCACACACCAACTATCCTTTTTAATGCAAGATATAGATATTACATAAAAAATGTGCAAATACTTAAAATAAATTGAAGGAACACCAACGTTAGGAATACATGTAGTGCCTTATATGTAAACCTTTGCATGTTATGTTAACTATTTAGATTTCTGTGCTCCTCCCTTAAATAGTAAATTAGACAGGGTTATTTACTGAAGTGAGAATTTAAAGTGAATTTCAATTTTAAACTGAAAGCATAGCTGAATTACAGAATCCTCCAGTTCTGCTATTTTGACCTGAAATTTGGAATTCACTTGGAATTCTCACTAGTGAGTAACCCTGATAGAGTTGTAATCACCTTTGGCCTCCTGGCTCAGTGGTTTTACCACGGCTACCGCTCCTCCCATGGCTGTGATCAGCATCATTACAGATGATCTCTGACAATTCAATGCTTTCCCACAATGAAGCACTATGAGACTAGTGCGCATGAGCAGCAATATATATAATTATACTAGAGAAACCTATACAGCATCCAGCATAATTACTACATTTAAATTTATCAACCTACCTAATGTTTGAGCTTATTTTGTAAAAAATTTTTAAAGGAACACTACAGTGTTCCAAAACCTGTATTCCAAACGCTATAGCACTGGGTCCCTAATTCTATACAGTATCTCCACTACTTAGAAATGCATATTCTGGGCATACCCTATATTCCTGTTTTTTTCTGTTTAGATTGGGAAGCAAGACTAGATTCCTATTGGGCTGAGCATCCACCCATCCATTATAGGTGCCCTTTTGGATGTGACCACAAGAAAGCATAAATTGAGAAATGTCTGTGGAAGCAGTTTAAGCAGTAACTACAGGTGATCCTCGTTTTGCGACCTACCTGTTTTACGACGGCTCGCACTTACGACCAGCTCTCTCGCGGGGTGGTAAGTGCGAGCGGTCGTGGGAATTAGAGGGATTCCCTGCTCTTCCAAACATAGACAAACGCAATAGAGCACATAAACCCTCTAATCTATGTTCAGGGAAATTTCCCCCAGATTAAATAAAATTTAATTCGTTGTAAGAAATAAACATGTAAGTGGCCAGATGACATTACACGCCATCACGCATTCATGCCTTTTCCCCGACGGCATCAGACAGCTGCTGGAGGTGTGTCCTGTCAGGGGGTACAGTAGTTCACAAATGGTGGGCGTGTCCTGTGATCCAAAAGTTTTGGGAGAAAATATTTAAGCTAATTAGGCAATCACAGATATCCTACTCATACTAGAACCCAAAACATTATTTTTTTATGTATCCAAACCCAATGCCTAGGACTCTGAATACACTACTTATACATATGCTCACAGCAGCTAACTGGCTAATCCCTATACACTGGAAACCATCCAAAGCGCCATCCATGAGAGATTGGATGCAGAAAGTAGAATATGTTAGGTCTATGGAGGAAAATTTTGCTTAACAAGTAAATATTCTCATTATAAGGATATATGGGGTCCCTGGACGACTTACTTGCAAAGGAGAGGAGGTGGACACACTAAGGACTAACTGATGTCTAAGTGACTACCAGATATACAGGTTTATAACGACTTGTTAGAGATATAATATGGTCATACACCGACAACACTAGGAAATAGTAAAGTGCCTTATGTATATTAGCTATTCTAAACATATCAATTTATTCGATCCCTCCTCGCACATAAACTATAGTTGTGGTCAGGGATATAGGCCTAGATTCGGTTGTGGAATGCTGAAACCGATGTTCGGGCAGGCCTGTAAATAAAGAGGGCCCGCCAAGGTAGAATTGTGAATATGGGGAGTAGTGGGTGGCGTGACCAAATGACATCGCACGGTATAGAAGTAAGTTTATGTTTATATAGGCCGGATCGTCCCCTCCCAAAACTCCAGACTCCCATTTGTGGTCAGGGAAATAGGCCGAGTAAGCGTTGACCATAATATTTACTAAATTCAGTTGTGGTGTGCAGAAACCTATGTTCAGGCAGGCCTGTAAATAAAGAGGGCAAAAAGGTGTAAGCAAAGCAACTTTAGTACGTATTTAATTGTTAACAAGACCCATGCAGATATGTGGCTTTATATTATTTGGCTAAGTCTTTGAATGCTTGTCTGAGTTCTTTTACCGGTTGGGCTATATACCGGTTGTTTATTGACGACTTCCAACGTCCTAGTCTTTTAATGATGTGTACTGGAATATATTGAATATATTGACTAGATGTGGCTGTAGCTGCGCCTATGCGAAATTAATAACCAGTGAAAGCTGATGGGTCGCACCCTATTTTTGTAAAGAGAGTTCGTATGTAGACCGTGAATTTGGATGTTGTTATAGGCTTAGTAGGGGGGCGTTTTTGTCTTCACCTCTTAAGTTTGGATAAAGCTGGTCAAATAATTGTACTGGACACCACTTGTTGTCTGTGGGGTATATGGGTATGTCGATGGGCGGCCCTGTTTGATTCGTTTTGGATTGCCGAAGTGTCAGGACATGGTGGTCCCCTATTTTGTTTAGGTCAGCCATTTTTAGCATTTTGCTGGTATTTCTACGGTGAATTTGTTTGGTCGTAAGAACCCGTAGAAGGCCAGACAAGTAGCGATTTTTAAGGTGTTTGTTTCGATTTCGAATGGTAACGTATCCAATGTGTTGGATAATGCTCTGAATTTGTTAACATCTATAGGTTGTCGTTTTGTGGGTTTGTGATCTTCTAATCGTAGAATACCTTTTGGGATGTTTTTTATCGGGTTTGAAGATATGAAAGTACTGTGGCTAGGGTATGTATTTATGACAGGGTATTGTATACCTGTAAGATATAGCTTTATCGTATTGTGTGCTAGTTTTAGATGCAAGTGGCAAAAAGATGTAAACGCCACCATAGTATCTAATGACAACAGGTTTGTGATCTTGTATTCTGTAATGAACCTATTGAATATGATTAAGGCTCGACTGTACGAGCGTCTGGTGTTTGCTGAGAGTGCTGATTGTGCCAGCATTCTCCCGTGCGCCATGAGTATAGTCAGTCCAGGATGAGTTCCTGGAATAGCGGTGGTCTGTATGGGGTTTTCTTGGTTGTGGGATGTACTTCGTAGAACACCTGTAGGTTAGAAGGAGAGAGGGCATCAGCTGCTGTGTTGTGGTAGCCCGGTATATGTTCGCAAGTGAAGTGGAAGTGTTTTGTGGTTGCCAATCACACAAGTCTTCTGACTAGTCTCATGATGATCAGGGTTGAGGACCTGCCCTTGTTGATTATGTTGCATACTGCTGTGTTATCTGTATAGCACTTTACTGCCTGTCCTTTCCAAAGGTGTCCCCACACTTGGGCTGCTGCCACTATTGGGTAAACCTCGAAAAAGGCAGAAGTGTTGTTAAATGATGGTAAAGTTACTGTCTCTATTGGCCATGCGTCTCTGAACCATTTGTTTCCGAAAATGGCTGCATAACCTGAGTGGGCTGCTGCATCTGTCCATATTACTGGGGAATTCCCTGTAAAAGGTGGTATGAACATATTAATCCCGTTCCAGTGAGTCAAAAATTGACTCCACATAGACAAATCTGCCCTGGCTTGTCCGTCCAGTGTGACTATGCTTTGGTCGCTTGGTAGTTTAGGTAACAGACTGAGTAGTCTGGATATAAACGTGCGTCCTTGTGGGATTATGCTCATGGCAAAGTTCAGAGAGCCTAGGAGGGATTGTAGGTCTTTGTACTTCTGCTGAGGGACAACTCTACCTCTGTCCTGATTCTCTGAACTTTGTCTGCGGAAAGACTTGCCTGCATGGCGACTGAGTCTAGTCATATGCCGAGAAATGACAATCTAGTGATGGGTCCTAAAGTTTTGTCCGTGGCTACCGGTACTCCTAATGTTGAAAAGAGTGCTACTTGTTATGCTTAGTGGTGTGGATTCGGGGTTTTCTATGGTCAGAAAGTCATCTAGGTAGTGAATTACGACTGGACAGCTACTGACGTTCAATAATAGCCAGCAAAGTGTTTCTGCGAATAAGTCAAATAACTTTGAGCTACTCTTTGCCCCGGAAGTTAGTCGTTTGGCAAAATAGTTGAGGCCCTTCTATTTTATTCCGTGCAGATGCCACAGTGACGGTTATATTGGAAGTAGTTTGAAGGTGTTGGATATGTCAGTTTCCCCCAACCAAGCTGTCTCCCCCGCCTCCAATATTGCCTGTATGGCATTGTCTTCTGTGGCATACTGCAGGGAAAATTCCTCTGAAGGTATGAGTGAGTTTAGGCTTGGAGTGACAACAGAATGAGGAGCCAAAAGGTCTATGATAAAGCATTTTTTATTGTTGTATTTGCCGGTTCCGATGCCTATCAGGTTGGTTCGCCTACATGAGAATGGTGCTTTTTGGAATGGCCCGATCATGAAGCCTTTCCCCACTTCTGTGCTTAGGAGTGTGTCTACTGTTGTAGGGTCTATTGTTGCGGACTGTAAGTTGTTACATTCTATGGTGACTATTGGTAGTGCAATTAACCCTGTGTGGAACCCTTCCATGAAACACGTGATTAGGAACTGAACGAGATCTCGTGATGGGTGAGCGTTGAGGTAGAAAGAAAGTGTGTCGACCTGTACCTCCGTCAGTCATTTTTTGGGAAAGAGACGGTTAGGGCATATAGTCTTGGCGTTGGTTCTAAAACAGATGGAGCAGACATGCAACAACCTGCAGGCACTAAAACTACAACCCCCTGCTTTGAAGTTGTTGCATATCTTAGCCTTACCTAAAAAGACTATCGGTCTCCCTAATTTGTCTTTCAATCCTCTTTGCTCAAACGTGCTTGTGCTAGGGGTGGTGTAGCTAGTGGTAGGTAAACTATGTCTGTTGGAGCACAAATTGGTAGCATGAGAGTTGGAGGAGCAAATTGCGCAAGCCGGTGGCACCCACCCAGCAAAGTGGCAACATAACAATTCAGTATCCATGTGGCTCCAGTCTATCTTGATATTGAACTGTGGAAATGTTGCCGCTGCCTTGGCTGAAAATGACTTGTGATAATCGTAAAACGTGGTGCCACCGTACTTGTTCATCAGGTCTACCAGTTTGTGCATGTACAGGTCTAGTTCCTCTCTGCGCTGGGGGAAATTAAAGCAAATTATGTCTCTGTACAATCTGAATGCTATTACAAAGTCTGGTATGGACAGTTTTTTCCTATCAGTAGAGACATTAGGTTTACATCCTTCCCCTCCAGAATGTCCTTCTTAATGTAGGAAGGGACCATGTGTGCAGGTGTGATGCTATGTGTAGCTGAACCCTGTGTGGTTGGTGTGGTGGTGACATTACCTTGTGTGACGGTTTGTTCGGTGGTTAATGTGGGTAAGAGATCTGTGGGGCTTACAGTGGTTGGTGTTGACGTTTCCAGCTTCTCCATCCTTTGATTTAAATTGTTTATGGACGCCAAAATAGAAGATATTGTGGCCTGTATCCACGTTAAGGTGTCTTTTATATTGGCTTGCATTCTGGCCCCTGGTTGTGGATTATCTGCATTGCCCATCATGAGTCTATATAATTCCACCTTCCTGGCGGTGGCTGGGTATGGTATGCCTCTTCGCCTAAGTTCTGAGGCGGTCTTAGGGATGGTCCATGACCTCATGGAACAGGGATTTGACGTGTCTTGGTTTTCACCTGCAGTAGCGCCTGCGGTTGGTGTGGGTGGTCTAGCTGGTGTACTGGGCAGTGAGAAGTCCTCTCATTGGTCTGACAGGTGAGACATGAAAACGATGGCGGGGTGTAGGCCTCTGGAAAGCTTGAGAAGACTGTGGGTAGGGAAAGTAGCCCTGACTACTCCACTTAGTAGAGTGTTCGAATCTCTAGCTATGATTTGGCCCAATGGGCGAAAATACCTTTTGAGGTATTGAGGATGGATGTTGGTCTAGCAGTGATTCTGAATTATGACCCTGAGTTTGGGGCTGTTCTGGTACCCTACCTGCCAGTTAACCGTGCATGGACAGAAGTTACTAAAGGAAACAGCCTGTGCTCTTTTAAAGGTTTTTTTTACTTGATTGGGTGGTATTTATCGCCTGTTGGAAACCAAAATTGTGCTTGGTATTATAACCCTACTGTATCACCGTTTGGGTTTGTTAAAGGTGGTACATACCTGGGTATCTAGATCCTCTTCTTGAGGGGTAGTAATTATGGTGGTATTACTTCTGAACTTAACAGATTGAGGAATCGAAGTGAGGGTTAATATTTAAGTTTGTATAATATCAGCGTGCTTATGTTAACCTATTTGCTATGTGTGCTTATGACTTCTATGAGATGGGTATTACGTATTGTGATCCTTGTTTGCAGATAGCACGGTCCTCTAGGGTAAACAGGCACAGTCCTTTTATTTTCATATAATCCAGGCACTTTATTTGTAAGTCCACACAAATGTAACACAAATCACTATAAACAAAAACCTAGTTCGTCTGAGCACTTACTAACATCAGGTTCCCTATCTCTCAGGGGTTAAACTAGAACAAAACAATATTGGTTTCACCAACCTAGTGTCTTTGTCAGCTCTCTGCACTCTAGTGCTTAGTCAGCCTGTTGCTTTCCTTTCTACACTCCCAGTGCTCCAAGCCAGCCTTACCTGCTTTCCTTTTGCACTCCCAGTGCTCAAAGCCAGCCTTGACTGCTTTCCTTTTGCACTCCCAGTGCTCAGTCTCCTTGACTCTCTCACTGGAGAGAACAGCCTCTCTCCTATCTGCTTCCAGGGAGGAAGCCAGCAATCCCCCTTTACCTGCCTAGCAGGGAGGGGTTTATTCCCACTGCTACAGCTGATTATCTGCAGCTGAGCAGTGGGTTGGAGATAGTTCCAAAAAACTATTCATGAGAAGATTCGGGCTGATTGATTGTGTAGAATTATCCCGCCAAAATTGACTGTTTGATTTCCGTGTGACCCGAGAAAACATGTATACTAACGTGAAGCCACAGAATTATACGTCAATGAAACATATCATGTTACAGAAATAACGTCTACTTTCCCTGTTGAAGCAATTGATCATGATTACTTATGTAGTGAAAAAGGTTAGGTCTTAATTGTATTTAGTAATTTTTGATGGTAGATGGCGGTTGTGACGAGACCAATCTCGCCACATTGCATTGGAGAAGCCTGGTTACTCGCCTGCTGCCTTTGGACTATGGCCCCCTGTTAAAAGACATCTTTTTTACCTGCAGAAAAGTTTAATTCGTGCTTTTCTGCCTGGGGTTCGGTAGATTTGTTTGAATGTGTTATACCCCAGATAGGAATACCATGGAGCCCATTTGTATGAAACTGACTGTAAAGACTTTTGCTCCATGGCGATTAAACTGTATTTGTGTGGTCCGAGCGCCATTCACTTAATAATGTGCGCTCAGACCTGAGCTATCTGGGGATATGTGAAATGTCTGTGTGTTATGTGTAAAATGTGACTTTATGTATTTTAAAGTGTTTTGTGTCTTTTGCAACCATATGCTTAATGGAGTCTTGTGTCTGTCCTGGGAGATAATTGAATTACTTATCTCCAGGATAGAAGACTCTGAAACTGGTTTGGGCCAGAAAGCCATGCTTCATTTAGTCACAAAGGACTTTTTACTAACTTTTGAACCCCTTGTCTGATTTGTGCCATTTTTGAATATGCTGTTCCCCTGAATGGATTGATTGTGAATATGTAATTTTATGTGAATGTGATGTATGGTTTTGGAGTTATGAAAGTTGGGTAGAAAGTATGTTTTAACTGTTTGTATAATTGAGTTTCCTCTCAGGATAAGGGGAGGGAATATGTGGGATGTACCTGTGATATGATTGGTTGTTTTGTAACGCCCTGTGGGCTGTACTATGTTTGTGATTTGGGAATAAAAGAGACTGTATGTGACAGTACAGGAAGTTCCTGTTTTAACCCTCAAAGTGAAGTGTCGTCTCATTATTGGGGGAAGGATTTATTGTATGCTGTTCCAGTTTGACTGCTAGGAGAGTAAACCTATTCATATGGTTCCTATTCAACTGTCTACAGCATTCATATGCTTGAGAGAAGGTATACACTTCTCTGGTTCGGTGATTGTGGTGTCGGCTGCAGTGCTTGGAGTCCTCAGGAAGCGCTAGGAGCATCTTTCAACGGAGGTACCCAGTCGGGGTGCCAGGCGATCCGTTACATTGGTGGCAAGCGGCGGGATCGTTCCTACAGCCAGAAGGACAGCTACAGGAGACACCATTCCGTGGATTTTACAATTTGAGGGCAACGCATGTCTCAGTACAGCGACCCTGACAGCAACAGAATGGAACCAGCAGTGGAGTACAGATACTCTGTACAGGAATTTGACCGCATGATGTGGTTGCGGCTGAACTTCTACGGACCTAATCCAGCTGAGAAATCCGTGAAGTTCGTGAGGAGTCTAGTATTCAAGACTCTGCTGTACCGGGCAGAGGGTGACGGTCAGCTGCCACGGTGGGTGGACCTCCACCGGCAGCTACAGTTGCGGGACAGAGAGAGCCCAGTCTCCTCTCCCCAGCGGCAGTGTGATATGCCGGGAATTGGGAGCCCAGTCTCCATTCCCCAGCTGCAGTGTAAAGTGCAGGGAGAGGAGAGCAGCGTCCTCCCTCCCCAGCGGCAGGCTGAGTTACAGGGGGCAGAGGTAGTTGTTCCTGCCCCCCAGCAGCAGAGTGATATGCCGGGAAGGCAGTGTAAAGTGCAGGGAGAGGAGAGCAGCGTCCTCCCTCCCCAGCGGCAGGCTGAGCTACAGGGGGCAGAGGTAGTTGTTCCTGCCCCCAGCAGCAGCGTGATTTTTTGGGAATTGGGAGCCCAGTCTCCATTCCCCAGCGGCCGAGTGATGTGCCGGGAATTGGGAGCCCAGTCTCCATTCCCCAGCGGCAGTGTGATGTGCCGGGAATTGGGAGCCCAGTCTCCAGTCCCCAGCGGCAGAGTATCCAGCAGGGAATAGAGAGCCCAGTCTCCCTTTCCCAGCAGCAGGACACTGTATTGGGAGCGGAGACAGTCGGTCTCCCTCCACAGAGGATGAAAGTATGTATGGGAGAGGAGCTTGCTACCACCTCCCCCCAGCAGCGGATCATTAATGGGCAGGGAATAGAGAGCTCAGTCTCCTTTCCCCAGCGGCAGAGTGTTCTATCGGGAGAGGAGCCTGTTACCCCCTCTCCCCAGCGACATCTTAGAGTATCCAAAGGGGAGACAGTCGGTCTCCCCCTCCGGCAGCAGAGCTGTGCAACAAAAGGGGTGACAGTCGGTCTCCAGCAGCAGAGCGGTGTATCTAAAGGGGAGACAGTCGGTCTCCAGCAGCAGAGCTGTGTGTCTAAAGGGGAGACAGTCGGTCTCCAGCAGCAGAGCTGTGTGTCTAAAGGGGAGACAGTCGGTCTCCAGCAGCAGAGCATTGTAGTTAAAGGGGAGACAGTCGGTCTCCCCCTCCAACAACCAGGCTTCAACCAGGCTACCCTCCCAGTAGCGCTGGCAACAGGGCAGAGTGCTGCTGGTCTCTGCCCACGCAGCAACCCACCCAGTCAGTGTACCCGTACCCAGCACAGCCGTGGTGAGGCACCTGGACATGGACAAGCTTCTCCTTTACCCAGGTGTAGTAACCATTTATTGTGGGTGGGCTGTGCTGTTGATTATTTTTGTGGGTGGGCTGCTGGACTAACAAGGGCACTGACCGGCAGGAGGTCAGATACCCTGTTAGTCTGTTTGGAAAAGGGGAGAGATGTGACGAGACCAATCTCGCCACATTGCATTGGAGAAGCCTGGTTACTCGCCTGCTGCCTTTGGACTATGGCCCCTGTTAAAAGACATCTTTTTTACCTGCAGAAAAGTTTAATTGTGCTTTTCTGCCTGGGGTTCGGTAGATTTGTTTGAATGTGTTATACCCCAGATAGGAATACCATGGAGCCCATTTGTATGAAACTGACTGTAAAGACTTTGGCTCCATGGCAATTAAACTGTATTCGTGTGGTCTGAGCGCCATTCACTTAATAATGTGCGCTCAGACCTGAGCTATCTGGGGATTTGTGAAATGTCTGTGTTTTATGTATAAAAGGTGACTTTATGTATTTTAAAGTGTTTTGTGTCTTTTTGCAACCATGTGCTTAATGGAGTCTTGTGTCTGTCCTGGGAGATAATTGGATTACTTATCTCCAGGATAGAAGACTCTGAAACTGGTTTGGGCCAGAAAGCCATGCTTCATTTAGTCACAAAGGACTTTTTACTAACTTTTGAACCCCTGGTCTGATTCATGCCATTTTTTAATATGTTGTTCCCTGAATGGATTGATTGTGAATATGTAATTTTATGTGAATGTGATGTATGGTTTTAGAGTTATGAAAGTTGGGTAGAAAGTATGTTTTAACTGTATGTGTAATTGAGTTTCCTCTCAGGATAAGGGGAGGGAATATGTGGGATGTAACTGTGATGTGATTGGTTGTTTTGTAACGCCCTGTGGGCTGTACTATGTTTGTGATTTGGGAATAAAAGAGACTGTATGTGACAGTACAGGGAGATCCTGTTTTTAACCCTCAAAGTGAAGTGTCGTCTCATTATTGGGGGAAGGATTTATTGTATGCTGTTCCAGTTTGACTGCTAGGAGAGTAAACCTATTCGTATGGTTCCTATTCAACTGTCTACAGCATTCATATGCTTGAGAGAAGGTATACGTTTCTCTGGTTCGGTGATTGTGGTGTCGGCTGCAGTGCTTGGAGTCCTCAGGAAGCGCTAGGAGCATCTTTCAACGGAGGTACCCAGTCGGGGTGCCAGGCGATCCGTTACAGCGGTGTTGGTATGCAACATAGCCTAGAGATTGAACCGAAGTGAAGGTAGCTGTGCGAAGTTTAGTATGAGAATAACCGTGTGTTAGGAATTAGTGTTTAATTTTACCGCGTGTGTGCGCTTTCGTATGAGTGGGGCGTTATGCTGTTCATGCATGTGAGACCCCCATTCGGTAGTTTGGTGTGTTCCCTTGTACTCACTGTGGCTGGGTGCTGTCAGCTGGCCCGGGAGTTCGGGAAAGTGCCACCGGGAGTTAAGTGTTGCTGGGACCAAAAATTAAATTAAAAAAAAATTCTCAGAATACATAACAGTTTTTTCCAAGTATAATGAACTCTATATGACCGCAAGGCAGCAAGATATCAGAACACAATTCTCTGACCAGCAATGGTATCAATTGCTTAATAAATCACATACGGTGTCTAAATGTTTAATCTATATGGAAGCCTATTGCAAACTGACTGAGGTGGTACTTAGCCCCTCAGTGACTAGCTCAAATATTTCTGGGCTCCTAGTCCTCCTGCTCAAGGTGTTATAATACCATGGACTATTTTACACATCTTGTGGGAATGTCCAGAAATAAAGGGCTATTTGAAAAATAAAATAAAATATATACATATATACATATAATATATATACACATATAATATAATTATAATATACATAATATAATTATATAATTATAATATACATAGAATATAATATAATAATAAATATTATATACATATAATAGATCACCCAGTTATACCTTAACTGACACTACTTTACAATTTCCTACACCGGACCCTGACCAGATACAATCACTTACTAATCACGCACATGAAATAAACTCCATGCAGGACTGTGAGACAGGAAGATTTGATCAGTGGAAATCTAAAGAGAAAGTTTAATAGCATTTTAGAGAATATATAGATTTGTGAATACAAATATACA